AAAGCAGCAGCAATGGCATTTAGCTCAGGTCTTCTATGGATCGAGTTTGCCATCCAATGATAAGAGAGAGCCATGAGTACTGCAGATGAATCATAAAGAAAACAGATGGCAATTTCAAGTTTCACAATTAGACCCATAAAGATGTATGTGCATGAACTGACTAAACCATTGATCTTGGCCAAGAAAGCCAAATACCCAAATAAAATTCCAACTAGCCAGTCTTCTCAAGTGAGTGTTGTTCAGTCAGCGATGTGAGGAGAGGATACTGCCTGCATAGCACACCATACAAGCCACTTGAATAACTCTAAAATTGGGGTCTGTGGAGACATCAATAATTGGATAATACTATTCATCCCTGGCAAAGTAAGTTTCTCACAGAGACGTTTTAATGAGTTGAGTTCTTTTGCAAAAACTAAGTTCTGGGGGGAACAGCAGATGGTGTAATGGCTATGTCGCTGGATTCCCATGTAGTCAACAGTGGTTCAAGTCCCAGACCCGGTGGCTTAAACTCATGCCAGGCATGTGTGCATACGTGCCCAAGATCCCAAGAAGAGAATGGAGGAGAAGGGATTGCGGCGTGGCCATCCTCATGGGGGGGGGGGGGGAGCGGTGATTTCTTGCTTTCTGTCTCTCTGTATGTCTCTGTCTTTCTGGCAAGCGCACATGCTCTATAGCAAAGAAAAAAAGATACCCTAAGTTCTAGCTGTAAAATGCCATTATTAAATGTCATTAAATGTGTTTCTATTGAAATGCTATAGAAACCCAAGAATGTGGTATGTTGTATCCATGAAGAATATCTCCTCTACATTCAAAAGCAGAATTTGGTCAAATAAGTAAGTAAATTTATGGATGAATCCAGAAATCGAGACTTAAAAAATATTTTTTGTTTTGTTTAGAATGGCCTTCTATTTAGTAGTTGATTAAAATGCTGTAAATACACTTTGATTTGTTTACAACTTCTAGTGGATTAAAAGTGAATTTTGTATACCAGTTAACATAGTCATAAGTAAGATGCTTCAAAATATTGGCTAAGACACTTCAGTGAAATGGATGAGAGAGGGAAGATGCAATTACTGAAGAAGTTCTCTGTCTTTTGAAATTACAACATAAGAATCAACAGTGCCAACTCCAAGGATCCATACAGACTTGATAAAAATTGTGCTCAGGCCAGCTGTGGTGGCACAGCAGTGACACGACATCGACCCATGTCCTGGGTCTGCATCCAGAAGGCACTGTGTATGAACTGGGTACAAAGGCATGACCGTGATTCTGGCTGGCTGACGCTGGGGTAGACCAGTGACATGAAGATCCTGTTGAGTGAAGCCAGCTGGAGGCATGGTGGTTAAGGCAGCTGGATCCCACATGGCTGACTGAGTAGCTTGAGTCCCAGACCCAGCATCTGGAAAAACATGCCGGGACATGTGTGCATGTACGCCCAAAATCCCGAAAGGAGAATGGAGAAGGGACTGCAGTGTGGCCATCCACCAGAAGGATGCTTTCTCACTTTCCTTCTCTGTCTCTGTCTCAGAAGAGTGTACATACCCTATAGCAAAACTAAAAAAAAAAAAAAAATCTAAACGGATTGTCTCTGTCTGTCTCTCTCTCATTAAATTAATAAACATAAAGTAACTTTCAAAAAATGGTGTTATTTCTGTACTGGAAATATCAAAAATATCTAACTTTTTCAGGGCACCATATTAGGAGAATTACTTAATAGGTAACAAATTAGAGAAATCACCATTTCCCCAAAGCACAGAGGAATCAGAATTCACTAAACGCCTCTTAAAAGATCTGTTAATATTAAAAGTATTCAATAATCACATAAAATTATTATCCTGATTTTTTAAATGGTAAAAATTGACTCATAAAAAAAAAAAACCAGTTCACAAAATTAATCCAACTTTTCAACACAGCTTACATGGTCTTAGAAGTATTTCTTTAAAACATTCATTAGGATTTGCCAAGGTAATTTTTAAGTTTAAAATTATATTAAGGATGAAGAAATATAAGTGAAATTATTCTGAACTGTACAAATAACTTTGAATGTTTGCAAATAAAATACACAAGGGAACTTTTATAATACTATCTTAAGCATGCCTTTCCCTATTTCTAATGAAAATCCCATTTTTCAGTTTGTGCAAACCATTCAGGTTTTCATCATAATAGACCCAGATGTGTTTGTGTTGATACAGAGGTTACACATTTTCCCCTTCTTCCTATTAAAGCTTGTAAATTGTAAACAAACAGCACTAATTCACAAGGCAGCATTCTGAACTAGAACAATCTCGAATGGAACCACTGGATATTCATGACCCATAGCCAACTGCCATGGCTTACTCTTGATGACCATGACAGCTAACAGGTTCTAGGACTCAAGATCTAAAACAGAAAAAGAAAATGTAAAACTTGTTCAAATACTCTCTGTATTCATTATTTGCTTTTAGAAAAGAAGCTAGGTTTCATTTTTAATCATCTTGCTTTATTCTTTGTTCTTTTTTGTTTTCAGATGGAAGTGTAGCTCTTTCATGTGGTAGAAAAAAATGTTTGAAGCATCCTTAAATCTCATATCTTGCCTGAAAAGTATATTAAATTTAGCTCAACAATAATCTCTTCCCTAAATTTGATCACGTCGATGACTTGTCAAAAACCGTATTTGAAAATGTAGATAATCTATTTCCCTTCCAAAAAAAATAACAGTCTGAATATCAAATACCTGCTTTGTATATGGTATATGTGTGTTTCAGCATTTGAAAATTTTCTGAATCGGCTCATACGGATAAGTTAAATACAGACAAGATGAGCCACAAAGCCGTAGCTCAGGAGAGAACAAACTATAAATAAAACTATAAATACAAGTCTTATTGCTTCCTCTTATTTTTCAAAATATGAATTCTTGTTACAAAGAGTCCTATATTTCTAAAATAAATGTAACTCTGACATTGAATATCTCTATCATTTTATAATTTATACTGCCAAGTTCAAGTGCTGATTAGCTTCAATTTTAAAAATTTAAACAATGAGAAATATTCATAAATTTTATGAGCAATTAACCTTCTATTAGAAAACTTGAAGAAAAAATTATTCCCATTTTCTCAGGTTGAGCATTCTAATGAGATTTTAAGAGTATGTTCTATAGTTGTCTGAAAAAGATATCAATTTCATGTAGCCAAATTGTAACTATGAAGATGTATATAACCAATAAATACTAAGAAAAGTTCATAAAAATACTCTGAACTGACTTGATTGCTCTGCATTTAAGGTCTACAGTATCACAGGAAAATATCAATAAAGACAGCCAGTCGATACAAACAACATTGGACTAAAAAGTAAAACCTATTAGAAATGAGTGAAGAAGTAAATAATAAAGAGGTAGTGAAAACACTAATAATAATTAACTGATAAAGGAACATCTCAGTAAACTTCTTCCTCTCCTGCTTTCCAAATAGGAGAATCAGAGAGAACTAAGTGATCGTGTTATTTAACACCTACTGAGTTCTTAGAGAGAGATCTAGAGAAAAATGGAGGAAGCCACAGGCTAAAAATCTTGACCTTAGCAGTAGGAGATACTCTGAAAACTCTAATAAGGGCAGAACAAGGGAATACCTGGACAGTTATTTAATTAAGGATCTCTGCATGAGTCATAAAAGAGGTAACAGGATGAGAAATTAGGGCATGTTTTAATTGTAAGGGCTGACTGTCAGAAATGCCAAAGACATTCCACTTTATCTATATCTGGACTCTTTTAAATATATGGACTTAAGCATGGAATAAAGAATTGAACAAACAAACAAACAAACAAAAATGGCTAAAACCTTCTAGTGAAGAAAGCTGGACACAATGCCAAATTAGGTATAGGTACTTTCAGATACCAAGTCAGTACTGCCAGTGTAGAACACAGGAACACTAAATATGTATGATCAAGGAAACAAAGACATAAGTTTAATCACTAGTATTTGTCAACTAAGTAGACAATTGCAGTAAGCTACAACTTTATGCTACTGATTTTTTTTTTTTTTAAAAAAGGGAGGGCATGATATTAACTTCAGGAAAAGTGATAATATAATTCAGAATAAATTCCCAGTTCTACTGAACGAGGTTGAATCATAGATCACAGGAGGTTAGAAAATAAAAAGCAACCGAGACAAACAACAATCTCTGGGGAGTAAAGAATAACTCTGGGATCAGTATTACTGAGGCTTACTCACTAGCCAACCAGTGCTTTATTCTAGGGGGGGCTTTCTAGAAGCCACATCTGTATGATCCTATTCAGAAATGAGGACCTCTTCTCTGACCTATCTCAAATCACTGTTAGTTGAATTAACCGCCAAGAATCTGAAGTAGTGACATAAACCAGACCCTCATGACCTTCCCTTCCCAGACCACTGTAATTATGATCTATACGTTATTACACTGCCAGAAGAAAAAGGGACTTTCTACTTGTGTCAGCGTTGTTCAGGAACCAGTTTTTCTTTCTTTCTAGACTGTAAGCTCCTTGAGGACAGACTACCATTCATTAATCTTTATATTCCCTTCAGCATCTAGAAGGGATACAGTTGATATCTGTTAAGGAACAAAGTAATTTTCCTAGATTTTTCTCATAATTGGCCCAATCTGTCCTAGCAAGTAAATAAAAGTCAACTTCCTTCCATGGCACTATTACGTTGCCAAATAAAAAGCAGAAGTGGTTTCATGGCAATAAAAATAGCATTGGTGTGCTACCTTGGAAACCATTAGATTTCCACTAGATTGTGTTAAGCAAATGGCAGAAGAAAAAGAAGATAGGTTTATTTTGTTTACTCATCACATCACAGAAGAATGTTTAGACCACCACTGAGTCAATATTTCTTACATCCACATATACGATCGTGCTCCACACCCTTGAGTAACAGCCCTGTTGCTGCTGTGTATAAGACAAGGGTGCATTTGCGGCATTTTAAATTCCATTTTCAAGGAGGAAAGTATCTAAGGATAATCAGACGAGAGTAATAAAATACACTGACCTGGATCTGTTGCTGCAGGAGATTAATTTTGTGCTGCTGTTGCAGAAGTTGCTGCTGTTGTCTTGCAATCTATCAGAAATAAAGTTTCATTAAGTTAAAATGAAATGCTTACACCTTTGCCGTTACCTCAGGTACGTCTCCTGGTATTGCGAGAATGCTTTACTGCATCTCTATGTGAAATCGTTTCTACAAAGTGAGGCAGAATCAGAAAGTTGAAAAAAGAAGAAAAAAAAGGCTAAAACAAGTATCACCTCCCTACTTTTTCTGCAAGTATGGCATTTGTGAGCAATTCACCTATAGTTGCACTGGCCAGCTGGACACGGTGGAAATTTAGAAATCGAGTCCTTGTGAAATAAAGACAGAAAACTCTGGCTACATTTTATTTTTTAAGAGCATCATTTGGATGTAAAAAAATAAAGTCTATAAGAAAATGGGGACGGGGGAACCAGCAGTTAGCGTAATGGCTATGTCGCTGGACTCCCACGTAGTCGACCGCGGTTCGTGTCCCGGACCCGGTGGCTTAAAACTCACGCCGGGCGCGTGTGCGTGCGTGCCCAAGATCCCGAGAGGAGAATGGAGGAGAAGGGATTGCGGCGTGACCATCCCCCCTCGGGGGTGATTTCTCGCTTTCTGTCTCTATGTCTCTCTCTGTCTGTCTGGCGAGCACACGCGCCCTACAGTGAAAATCTCTCCAAAAAAAAAAAAAGAAAAGTGACAGCTGTTCAGAAATCATGTCAAAAAAAAAAAAAGTAAAAAAAAAAAAAAAAAAAAGAAAAAAAGAAAATGGGGGCGGGAAGGCTTTATCTTACTGCATAATGTGGTCTACTTTGGTGTAACCCTTTCTGATGCAAAGATTTTCAGAACTGATACACTTATAAATATTGTTGAAGAAATGAAATAAAAGTACAGAAAAAAAGAAAAAATCTTGAGCTTTTTTTGTTAATATTGTGTGTGGTGCACAAAGCACTTAAAACAAAGCTGTAATTTAATATTTATCCGTTTATCCTTTGAAGGGTAATATGTTTATTTTATAGCACAGGGTTCACGTAGAAGTTTTATATCCCCCTAGTTCGTCCAACAGTCAAATTCAACATCTTAACAGGTCACCTGGTCTATAAAAAGAAATATTAACTGTTTAATGCAAGCCCTGTTGAGGACTGAATCTGCCCCTCAGGACAGCAAACAACTTCCCTGGGATAATGGTGTTTACTGTGAAACTTGAGTCAGGCATCAGGCTGCTGACTGCCTCAAAAGCTGAGCTGCTATGCTTGAAGTCCAGGGAGATACTCCTTACAGAGAACACATGCACTGTCAACCTAGGAAGCCAGCGAGAAAAGTGGCCAGAGAGCCCTGAGAAGAATTTGGGGCCTGAGAGGCCAGTTTTCAAAGATGACATTTAGAATGGGCTATGCTGGAAGTGAAAATGCGTGTGCACCCGTCCCCTGCTGCATACTTCCTGAGCTTTCCCACTGCTCTAGCCTAGGGCACGGGAAAACGCCCAGATCCCATGGTATTTAAGCATGAGGTGACCACACAGCAGTCTGCCCCAAACATTGCTTTATGATTTCCACTGAAGAGCGTGATAAAGCTACCCCTCACATAGACTACGGTTTGAGAAATGGGACTCCTCTTTTTCAAACCTCTATAGACAGAATGGAAACAGTATTTAATTAGGTTGCAATGGCCTACTCTGCTTGTCACCATTCAAATCAGAAATGGACAACTCACTCCACAGCTCTAGGTATAGATGCCGGATCCTCTGAATATTTATTTCCTCTTAGCAAACCAGTGAAAGACCACAAGGCATCTAATATTGATGGTCCCTCCTAAATGATAAAGCGCTGCACAGAAATGCACCCGCAACACCACAGTGCAATTACCATCATCCACTCTAGACGTATGGGTCTGACACAGTGAAGTATGGTACATAAGCACCATGTGGCTCAAACTCTGAATTTTATTTGCCAATCGGTTGAGCTACATGCTCGCTTCATTGAGCATGACAACCTAGTTTTAAGTGTCATTTAATTTTCATTTTGAAATATAATTACAAAGTGTTCACTGTAAGATATCACTCGTCTGCAAATGTGTCAAGATTAATTTGTGCTAGCTTATTCACAAGTGTCAATAGTTAATTACTGTGTCATCTCTGGATGGCTAAATGACATTCTAACTTCTGATTTTTTACAGTGTTCCTTTATGTTATTTTCCATTAGGGGCTGAGTCCATATTCCTACATGTGGGCAAATATTCAAGCATATAAAATACCAGACGTCACAACTCATTAAAATCAACAGAGCATATATTGCTCTATATACCCCTATAAAATACATTTAACTGAAAAGATAATTCCAGTAATAATGTCAGATTCCTAAAAACTGCACATTAATTTGGATCTATCTGATCTGAAGCATCAGGGACTACTCTGGAGGATCATTGTTGTTAGATTAATGTACTCTTAGAAGACGAGAGAAACATTTGGGAAAGTGATTTATATTTTTTAAAAATATTCATTTAAACCTTGCTATTTTTTCTTCGTTCTCACTTCTAAACTCAATCAAGTCAAATTCTTTTTAAGAGCCATGTGCTAATTTGTTTTCAATGATTTACCTATGCTTTAAATAGTGACCATATAATTTATCAACCAAATCAAGATGACTTTTGTGAATAGAAGGGGATGAGATATTAATAATTACCCTGAAAACAGGCAGAAACTAGGGATGTTTAGGGAAAACCAACACGCATAGTCACTCTTAGCTTGAAAGCCAGAGAAGATCACGGTACTGAAAGGTCCTTAACTTTTTTCGACAATGCAATCCCTTTTTCTGGATAAGGAAAGTAAGGCCCTGAGACAAAGTACTTCCTCATACTTGAAGTACACTGGGATGACATGTGATGCCTTGTGAGTAAGTGTCCCTGAGTAATCAAATCCAAACCTCTGGAAACCGTGTTATCATTTCAGTTACGCCCAGATACTCTGAGGCCCTTCTCTGGTCCTCCTCAGTATTCTTGAAGACTCTGGATTTCCAGAAGGTTTCTTTCTTTCTTTCCTTCGTCTCCTTATTTATTGATTGATTTTTGGAAGGATTACAACAAATGAGTAGATCGATGTGATGATCACCCGGCTTGGCACATTCCACACCTCTAGTCCGGCAACCCCTTCTGCAGGCCTCACCTGTTCCTGCTGCTGGCGAGCAAGGTCCATTTGCTGCCGTTGTTTCTCAATTTGTGAGGCTGCCAGTTTTTTCTGTTCATCGTGCGCTGCCAGGAGCTGCTCCCGTAAACTGATCAGCTGGGTAATCATGGTGGAGAGCTGCCGCTCTTTTTCTGCCAGGCTCTCTGGTGTACCTAAAATGGAAGCAAGAGGAGATCTCACAAGCTTGAGGAATGTCTGAATGAATCAGGGAAAGGAGGGCAGAATTTAGAAAGGGACTACACTAAGATACTTCAGATCCGGGACAGTGACGAGGGGACATGAGGAGTACAACACCTCTGAGTAGTTACAGCAGTGGAATAAATGCTAGGGTGTCATTTTCCCCAACAAGAACAAGTATCACCACTAATGAAATTTTCACTTACTCCTCCCATTCATTCAAAAAAAATTTTTTAAAGAAAAAGCAGAACTATTTATCTCACTCTCTCTTTTCACCACACTTCCCTCTCCCATCCAAATCTAACTGATTAAGCTTGGAAAGCCATGATATTCGGTACCAGAAATCAGAAAGTCTGGATTATACCAATGTTCTGTATTCATCTCTGCCCTCAGTGACTAACAGTCTCTAAAACATAGTAGGTTTTCCTAAAGGCTATTTAAGGAACTTTCTGATAATCGCCCTCATGAAATGTTTCTATTGGCAAAGATCTGTCTATAAATTTCAAAAGTCAGGGGTCAATCTCTTGGCCATGGAACAAGTTCTACAGAGAGAATAAAACCTGTCTTAGGTAAGAAAGGATTGAGTATGATTTTTTTTTTTTTAATTTTTCCTGTGATGGGATCAAGCTCAAGTTCCCCAGTCCATTCTTTAAGGCAACAGTGTTGCTTGGGGGGTTTCCTCACCCCTTTGTCATTTGTCATTCTTCAAAGGGAGGAAACACATTTGAGGTTGAAGAGGTGATGCATAGGGATGTGCTGTTTAATGAATATGATGTCGCAGAACACTTACGGTATGCACTAATGGCACTGAACAGTCTTTTTATGGGCAAATTGCACAGCTCTTCTAAGTAAAGGGTACGGAATCCTTTTGTGAATCTAAATTAGAGCATTTTACCACAGCATAAGATAAGAATTTCAACCCACTGTATTTGAGCCACACAGGTTTCATTATGAAGAAATGATCTATGATTTGAAAGCTTTTCAGAGAGACACCATGCTGTCAAAGGGGATGAAGATTGCCAATTTTTGTGTGTGTGGAAGGGGAGACTTGCAAACTCTGTAAGAACCCGATTCCTACTAAGTAAGCACCAGGACAATCTAAGAAACGAAAAATATTTTAAGTGGCCCTGTTTTGAGTGGCCAAGGAGAAATGGAATCTCCAGAGGTGCTAGCCAGCACTTGTAACTTCATGATTTCCATAAGGTAAAACTGATGTCAGCAGAGAAGCTACCATATCTAGGACTAGCCTGGGATTCCTAATGTCAGCCAGAGTCCTAAAAGAAAAGAACTGTCAACATCTCTTCAGGATTCTCTGAGCTGGAAAAATGGCTCAAAATCAAAATTTAAAGAAAAAGAAAGTGAAAAGTTAGAAAGTGTGTTCTACTGATAAGGAAACAAAATACTGTCTCAAGACTAGTGACCAGCTATATTCCTTCTAGCTCCTGGATCTGATGAACAGAAAATGACTTTTTATTTCAGTAATAGGAATTTCAGCTTGGTAAACAAACTAGAAAGTCTTAATTCAGACACATTAAAATACAAAAGCAGGTCCCTCAAGGAGATCATAAAATCTCCTCAAAAGTACAAAAAGCTCAACTAATGAATATGTTAATATATACAGTTATGAGAAGATACAAAACAAGAAAAGTAAAATATTCATTGTTTACTTGTTTCACTCTTTTTTTTTTCCCTCTCTTTGGAGAGGTTTTTGCCTTAGGGAGCATGCTCTCGCTAGAGAGAGAGACAGTGAGAGGGAACATGAGAAATCACCCTCCAGGGAGGATGGCCATGACTCAGTCACCTCTCCTCCGTTCTCCTGGAATCCAGGGCACACATTCACATGTTACCAGCATGAGTTTCGAGCCACCTAGTCCAGGACTTGAACCATAGTCGGCCATGTGGGAATTCAGTGACATAACCACTAAGGCATTTGCTGGCCCCTGTTTCACTCATTTTTAATTCAGCAAATATTTCCTGAGTAGCAACTGTGTGTCACCAAAGTTAAACGAGATACCTTAATCAAGCATTCACTCATATAAATATAAACTACAACTAAATAAGAATTACAGACAAACACTCTGAGAGAGGTGTGTAACCATGTTCGGAGGGTCCAAGTTCAGAGAAGGTAGCTTGAAAAAGCAGTGGATTAAACAGGGAGATAAACAGGAGTTAACTAGGTAAAGAGTTGGAGAGTTTGATCAAGGAGCTTTGCAGAAAACATGAAACTTTGTAAAGTAACTATAATTGAGAAAAGGTTGTTAGAGGGTTGGTGGTCAAGGAGCTTTTCAGAGAAGAAAACAATATAGGCACAGGCCTTGAATGCCTGTGTGTTCAGGGTAGGGGTGGAGACGTGATCTAGTGTTTTCCAGAAGTTAAAAGAAGGTATTGAAGCATGAGCAAGGAAAAGAAAGGGGACTAGAATGGCAGATGAGGTAGAGAAAAATCACCACACTTAGCCCATTATGGTTCGTGTTTGATGATCTTTGTATTTACTCTAAGAATAATTCAAAATCACTAAAGGACTTTAAGCAAAGGGCGATGCAATCATTCTGTACGCAGTGTGGAAAACAGATTGGAAGTTGTGGGATTAATGGGATGTATGCACATTTTATTACATATATTTTATGCAATATTCTTATCTACATGTTATTGTCTTATCCTTGTCTATATGAGGTAAGTCAAAAAAAAGGCTTCTCTGATACTATGATACTTACTGTCCTAGACGTCTCTGTTAATAAAGAAGAGCTTATACAGGAAATTTGGGGCAAGGAACCACAAGAGTTGAACCCGATATTTAAATATCCCTAAAGATTTAAAAGCTTGGGACCAGCAGTTAGCATAATGGCTATGTCGCTGGACTCCCACGTAGTCGACCGCGGTTCGCGTCCCGGACGCGGTGGCTTAAAACTCACGCCCGGTGCGTGTGCGTGCGTGCCCAAGATCCCCAGAGGAGAATAGAGGAGAAGGGATTGCAGCGTGGCCATCCTCCCTGGGGGGGGTGATTTCTCGCTTTCTGTCTCTATGTCTCTCTCTGTCTGTCTGGCGAGCGCACGCGCCCTATACCAAAAAAGAAAAAAAAAATGAAAAGCTTTCCCTTTTCCCAGTGAAACAAGTCTTTCCAACACTCTTCAATTTATTCCTATTTTCTTCTCCATGTAGAAAACCGAGAGGCTGAGGATACCGTGACCTATTAGCCTCTTCTGTTCAGGGTAAAACCAAGAGATGTATAAATATTGGGTCGTTGGAAAAGTCATGATGCATTTTGCACAGAAAAGCAGAAAAACACGTCATGACTTTTCTGACAACCCAATACATTGGTATGTCCAATGCTAACAGATACCTATTAGTGTATTCAAAATTACAGAATAACATCATTTAGGTCACTTCTTTATTTGTTTTGGGTTTTTTTTTTTTTATAAATAATGACATTCAACTTGTTTAATTGTAAACATTCAGTGACATCTAAATAAGCTTCTCATTGGACTTAAAATTCACGTATTTAAGAAGAAAAAGATCTACATTGAGAATTTAGGTACTCATAGAAGACTGTCACTATCTTTTCCTTAAACTTAAGGAGTACATAAATATTTTGAACAGGTAGAAGTGACATAACAACTGAGATTGGAGTGAGAGGTCGTAGTGTAACAAATCTAAAAAGTTCCCCGAATGAGGATTTTACATACATAGCCATGTAGCTGTTGGGACTCAAATGAAGGAGAAATCAACATACACCAAATACAAGTTTATATTCTCTCCATGTGTAGGCTAATTTCTGTGTGTGTGTGTGTGTGTGTGTGTGCGTGTGTGTGTGGTCATTTTGCTATGTCGCTGGACTCCCACGTAGTCGACCGCGGTTCGCGTCCCGGACGCGGTGGCTTAAAACTCACGCCCGGTGCGTGTGCGTGCGTGCCCAAGATCCCCAGAGGAGAATAGAGGAGAAGGGATTGCAGCGTGGCCATCCTCCCTGGGGGGGGTGATTTCTCGCTTTCTGTCTCTATGTCTCTCTCTGTCTGTCTGGCGAGCGCACGCGCCCTATACCAAAAAAGAAAAAAAAAATGAAAAGCTTTCCCTTTTCCCAGTGAAACAAGTCTTTCCAACACTCTTCAATTTATTCCTATTTTCTTCTCCATGTAGAAAACCGAGAGGCTGAGGATACCGTGACCTATTAGCCTCTTCTGTTCAGGGTAAAACCAAGAGATGTATAAATATTGGGTCGTTGGAAAAGTCATGATGCATTTTGCACAGAAAAGCAGAAAAACACGTCATGACTTTTCTGACAACCCAATACATTGGTATGTCCAATGCTAACAGATACCTATTAGTGTATTCAAAATTACAGAATAACATCATTTAGGTCACTTCTTTATTTGTTTTGGGTTTTTTTTTTTTTATAAATAATGACATTCAACTTGTTTAATTGTAAACATTCAGTGACATCTAAATAAGCTTCTCATTGGACTTAAAATTCACGTATTTAAGAAGAAAAAGATCTACATTGAGAATTTAGGTACTCATAGAAGACTGTCACTATCTTTTCCTTAAACTTAAGGAGTACATAAATATTTTGAACAGGTAGAAGTGACATAACAACTGAGATTGGAGTGAGAGGTCGTAGTGTAACAAATCTAAAAAGTTCCCCGAATGAGGATTTTACATACATAGCCATGTAGCTGTTGGGACTCAAATGAAGGAGAAATCAACATACACCAAATACAAGTTTATATTCTCTCCATGTGTAGGCTAATTTCTGTGTGTGTGTGTGTGTGTGTGTGTGCGTGTGTGTGTGGTCATTTTTCTGTTCTGGACCCACTGTACTTGTTCAGATATAATGGTTTTAAGCCAGCGTTTAAAACCTGTGGTGCTTTCTGTTTTAATTAACAGCAAGAGTTTATGCTGCAGTAGTAAAAATAACACCAAGTCTGAATCACATGGTCAGTCAACCTGCAAATACAAGTTCTTTTACCTCAAAAATATT